CTATAAACTATTTTGACACCAAACTTTGTACGTCTAATCCTCTATTAAACTCGCACTAGTCAAAAATATAAAAGAAACATTTCCAATAAAATAAAATGACCCTGAAATTTTCAAGGGGTATTTTGATCATTATATTTTATCGAAAATTTATTTTTAATATTTTTTACAAGTGCGCCCCAATGAGAAGATGGCACGTACCAAATTTCATATTCATACAATTTATATAAAACAACTAAAAATAAAATACTTTGAGACGTCGGATCTATTTTCAAACGGTGAGTGGCTCTCTTGAACAAAATTGGATGGCTGGATGGTAGGGGAAGCATAGATCTTCTATGCGCTAGGGGAAGTATAGAAACCTTTCCCAATAAAAAAAACATAAAACAGAGACCCATTTGAATCTTCTGTGTTGAAAAGTCCACCTATTATTGATTTCAATTCTATTGTGCCTCTTTTCCAAGTTCCCTTGGACATTTAAATCTTACTGATTTGATTTTTATCATTAGTATTTGTAAGACTATTGAGTGATTTCACAATGGATGTGAACCAATATGAGTTGACACAGAACAGTTTGAGACTGCCAACACTAAATGTTCTTGCATGCATATTTGTTGCCTATAATGAGTGATACTTTTGAAGATTGAATAGATTCAAGTGTGTGTGGTCGAGAAAGTTAACACAGTTAACGAAAATTGCAAATGTGAGGCCTCTTCGCAATATGCAAGATCACTTATAGATATTTAGTCAAGTACGTCGCACTCTGCATCCAGTTTTTGCCATCTGCCCCCATGTACATGGATGGAAAATGTTTTCAGCTGTGATTTTCATATTAATGCCCCTAGGCTCACAAGGAAATACCAAAAGGAGGGGGTAGCAAAAACAAACGTGCAAACCACAATCCCATTAAAATTGAGAACAAATTACAAATCTATAATTTGTTGTCATAAATAAAGATACATACCTGACCATCAAACTTAGCAACCAAAACAGTAGATGAACCAGGAGAACGTGTTCTTGCAGCACTTCTTATAAGAATTTGATCTGGTTCAGTTGTTGCCAAACCTCCACGTTCAGAGACAAACTCCAAGCAATTTTGCATGAGCTCCTGAGCATATAATCCCGAATTGATTCCTGCACAAATTAGCAAAATGTCAAAATCTCTAACCGGATGAAAGATAACACAACAATTTATTTTAAAAAACATACATTGTATAAAAATATAATGTTTAATAAAATGCCAATCTGGATCGGTTTTTAGAGGAACAAGATTGGTTTCCTCTAAATATCGGGAACGGGTCTTTTCCCCATGAACAGGCCAGTTCTCTTACTAAAGCAGCCGGTTCTGTTGGGGAACCCACGGACCAGCCCCACCTTTATTTTGTTTTTATTTTTTATTTGGTTTTTTTTATTGGATATTCTTTCATTTAAAGAGGAGTTGTAGAGGGCGCACCTCTTTCTTTCAAAGTGAGAAACCACATATGTGAACCCTTTGATAACTTGCGCGCCCCCACAATGATTTTTCTATCGTCCCCAATGTAGAACTAGGCATAAAAGGTAGGCTCTCGAGTAGTGAAATCTCCATCAAAGGAGCTATTTCTCATAGAAAACTAAATAAATGACACGAACAAATCCAAGTACAACCTGTTTTGTTTGGCATTTCTTTGGGGTTGGCTAACTAGGATGAAAAAAGTGGTGGAATGGCTCATATGGTTCGAGATTTTAGGGATTGCGGCCAAAAGTTTTAGACTACACTGTTGAGCATTGGGAATTTTTTATATTAAAATGCTTTTTTTTACATCTCTTCCCTTTTTTATATTAAAATGCTTTAAAAAAAAATTAACACTTCCATTCCTTTTTTATATTAAAAAAAAAAATTAAGTCTAGGTTCTCTTCAACTGCATTTGATTTTCCACATGGGCTATGAAATCAACTCACAATAAAAAAGGTAAGGATATGTACTACATGCAAGCAGTTGAGTTTATTACAGTTTTTAAGCATCATCACAGCCGTCAGGTGTGAACAACTGATGGCTGGAGTACGCTAATCTACTTCACAAGGAAACGACCCAACCCAGTTGTGCACTGCCAACATTTGATGGAAGGGGTTATGCCTAGAGTTGCATTTTAAATTTAATTTGGACTAAGAAATGGATGTAGTGGTCATCCAACACTCATGAAATAAGTTCTCAGTGTTTATATATTTTTGATAAAACAATGAATATGTAGAATGCAATACCCCAAATTTCTTTGGAGATATGAGAAACTAGATTTTTAAGAAATTTTAGTAAATTTTGAATTTTAAGGCCAGATCAAGCTGATTCGGCCGATTCACCAATCCGGATCAGTTTTCCAAATGGGCGATCTAGGCCACCCGTCCATGTTTTTTAAACATTGAGAAAATACATAATAATTAGCACCCGAGAGAGAAAAGAAGGAGAGAGGAAGAGGAGGAGGGGGGGCGTCTTCCTTCCTTTCCCACTAGATGACGGAGGGGGTGTGCACCTTCCCATAAGCAAGGGTCAGGTTTCCAGGGGAGGCAGAGCCCCAGAACACCTCCAAACTGGTTAATAGTTTCCCGTGGACTTGCATGTACGTAGAAGGCTAATATAGAGATGCACGTTCTAGTACAATTTATTACTCCATGACTACATAGACCAGAAGTTCTCTTTAAATTGAGACCTTTTAAGGATAAATAGATACTTATTAGACAATCAAAAAAATAATACATTTCTTCCTTGGACAAGTACTATGTTTTCTCAAGAAAAGTCCGAAGTATAAGTCAACGGAATGCAGCAGCAAATAAAAACAGCAACATTGGGAAAATGACAGCTGAAAGGAATAATGTGATAAATAAGTATAAACAGCATATTGAATACTACCTTCAAGTATCCACCCACCAACTCCATCAGCCACCCCAAACCAACTATTATTTGCCACAAAATAAGCATCCTCCCCACCTGTCAATGCCTGAAATTATTATTCTATATTATTTACCATGCATCTCCAACTTCAAATGCAAAGCACATCCATACCATCAAATCGCAAGATTCCATTGCAAATGCAAGTATCAGACAACTAAATACAATGCAATAGTAAAAATAAAAAGGAGAGAGAGAGAGAGAGAGAGAGAGAGCATCAGTTTGGTCAAAAAGAACATGAGGTATTGGAATAGCATCAAGACAAAATTAAACACACATTCTCTAGAACATCTCTGAGTAAACAAAGAAAAAGAAAAGAAAAAAAAAATTCAGACCATAGACTCTCGCACAAATGAAAACTTCCTATCAAAATAAAGAAGAAATTCAGAATGAGAGCATCAATCCCTAAAACAAATCCATATCCAAGTCCTCCATCCGGATGAAAAGTTTCAATTGATGATTCTATATTGCATCCATCCGGTATAAATTCATTAAAAAAACATGATAACATTTCCAATGTACTCTAAATATGTATTACTAATGAAAAGAAGCAGCAAAAATCACATGAGACATTACAATGGAGTACCTTAGAAGGGTGTGGAAGCACTACAGCACCTGAGAGCAGGCAATATCTTGGCATTGCAACCAGTTCATCACTACAGTTCAAATATAATAAAACAATAAAAGGGATTCATTAGAAACAGAACTTCAGAATTGAATCCATAAAAGTATGAAAAAATTAGGGCTACTGAGAATGGAATTTTAGATATCTCGACGTGGCTCCCACCACCCTGACCACCTCTGCTTCGTTCCAATCGTTCTATAATTGCCCCATTGCATAAGGTCGGATTTCATTTGCTAATGCCCTCTTTAAGGTCCAGCTCATGTGCACATGCACAGATGCAATTTTTTTTTGGGTAAGTAAAAAAAAGTGGTATGTCAATGGGGATTTGGGCCCCTACCCTTTGGTGAGAATGGAGTCAGAGACCTCCCCATAGGGCTCGGCAATACAACAGCCAAGGCCCCAAGTCATTCTCATAAAAGTGGTGTGTCAATGTGGATTTGGGCCCCTAGCCTTTGGTGAGAATGGAGTGAATGTTCGGGGCCTCAACAGTAGTAGAAGGAAAAAAATTGTCTTGTTTTTGGTTAGGCAGGAAAAACATGATATTTTTATTATACATGAATCAAAGATGGAGGCCCCGAATTTTCAGTCTACTAAGTTAGTTTGGGGGAGGAGACCAATGGACTTTGTGGGTTTTGATTCTAATTACTTATCAGGTGATTTGTGGGTCATATGGGACCCCGAATGTGGTTCAAAAAATGATTGTGTTTTAAATGAAAGACATATCTCCATTTTATTTTCTAGCCCTGTGCATGGCTTTATATGGTGTTTAACAAATGTATATGTGCCCAACCATCCCGATGGAAGAACATAATTTTTTGATGAACTGAATGCTTTGACCAATTTCGTTAATGTGACATGGTGTATTGGAGGTGATGTCAATGTGATTCGTTGGCCTAGTGAATCCTCAGTTAATCCTAGTGAATGCTCAGTTAAGCCTGGGATCTCTCCTTGTATGCGCATGTCAATTCTTTTATTCAGAATAATGAGCTTCTGGACATTCCTTCAATTGGGGCTGCCTACACCTAGTCAAACCATGCTCTTTCAAACCTACCCTTACCCGCTTGGATAGGTTCTTGGTGACCAATTCCTTTCTTTAAGTTTCCAAATCTTTATGTTAAAACCTTAGTGAAAATTGCCTCCGATCATGTCCCTCTCTTGTTGAATTCAGTGGGTATGAAATTTGGCCCTTCAACTTTTAGAATGGAGCTAAATTGGTTATCAGATAGAAGCTTTATTAAGTTCGTAGAAGAGTTCTGGCAAAATACCAAGATAGACGGTTGGGTAGGTCAGCAATTTACTACTAAATTGAAAATGCTGAAGAATGAAATCTGTAAATGGAAAAAATAATCTTGGGGTAACCTACAGTCAAAAATTGTAGTGACAAAAAAAAATAATGAAGAGATTGATGAGATCCAATTTATGGGAGGATCAATGCCACCAGAAAAAATGAGAGTAAGAAACAACTATCTTGCTTCCTTGCATGACCTTCTGAAAATGATAGAAGTATATTGGAGGCAAAGATCTAGAGTGAAATGGTTAAATGAAAGAGATAGAAACACTAAATTCTTTCATGCTATTGCTAATACTAGAAAAAAGGGTAACTCCATTAGTAAATTAAAATGGGAGATGTGGAGCTTACTGAACCAGGTAGTACTGAAATAAGTTTAATTTACCATTTCAAGGAAGCTTTTACAAGAGAGAAAATAAATCATTTGTCTTGAGAATGTCAAGTTCGATAGATTGCCTTCATAAACGACTTTATGGCTGGAAAGACCTTTCGAAATGGATGGGATAAAAGGTGTTGTCTTCTCCTTAAGGATGGATAAGGCACCGGGGCCAGACGGTTTTCCTTTAGCCTTTTTTCAAACCTTTTGGGAGCTTCTAAAGGAGGATCTTTTTTTACTCATGGATGAATTTTATCATAGAGGTAAAATCTTGACAACAGTAAATTCCACCTTTATTGCTTTAATCCCAAGAAATTTGTTATAGAGAGTGTGAAGGACATTAGGCCCATTAGCCTACTGGGGAGTGTCTATAAAATTGTTGCAAAGATTTTGGCAAATAGATTGAGAGAAGTATTGCATCTGGATGTGAAAGGTCCTCAGTTTGCTTTCCTCAAAGACAGGCATATTATGGACAGTATCTTAATGGCGCAAGAATGAAGGTTGAAAGAGCAAAAACCACGTCTTCTATATAAAATTGATTTTGAAAAGACATATGACAAAGTGGATTGGCATGTGGATCCAAGGATGTTTGAAGTCAACTCATTTCTCCATCCTTTTCAATGGAAAATCTTGTAGTTATTTTAAAGCATCAAAAGGCATTCGGCAAGGAGATCCCTTGTCTCCATACTTATATACTATTGTGGCTGAAAGCTTTAGTACTATGTTGAATTATGTGGTGAGTAGAGGCCTTATTTTTGGATTTAATGTTGGTAGACTAACAATTTCCCTTTACAGTATGCAGATGATATTATTATCTTTTGTAACCTAGAGGAACAAGAAATAAGGAATTTGTGGGTATTCTTAAAGTGCATGGAAATAACAACGGGTCTCAAAGTGAATTTAGAAAAGACAATTTTGATTGGGATTGGAGTTTCAGAGAACGTCATTGCATCCTTGGCAGAAATTCTTAGATGTGGGGTTGGCAAGTTTCCTTGCAAATATTTGGGCATTCCTTTATTTAGAGGAACCAATCGGCAGCTATTTGGGATCCTATGATTGAAAGATTTAATAAGAAACTGAATCTATGGAAGTCTAAAGTGTTGTTGTTTGGAGGAAGATCTACTCTTATCAACTCTACTTTGTCCAACTTACCCATCTATTTTATGTCCATTTTCATAATGCCAAAGCAAGTGGTGAAGACTTTGGATAACATTATAAGATCTTTTTTATGAGGCAATGTAGGAATGGGAAAAAAAACTGAAACTCGTGAATTGGGAAAAGGCATGCACTTCCAAGAGAGATGGGGGTCTAGGAGTTAAAAAGCTCAAATTGACAAACACTAGACTATTGACTCTTCTTGGAATATTGTTTGCATGTACAGGAGGGTCTCAGATTCTTTCTTTCATGAGTCCTAATTGCTTATGAATCTGTTGCATAATTTTTTCTATGTTCCTAATAAAGATGATCAATTGGTGTGGGAACTCATAGCTTTAGGGGATTTTTCAGTCACGTATGTCTATCGACTACTGCGTGAGGAGAATCACAGAGCGACTGATCATAGTTTAACAAGAACATGGAATTTGCATGTACCGCTAAAGGTTCAATTTTTTTTTGGGTAGCTCTTCAAAATAAACTGTCTATTGTGGATAACCTTCATAAGAGAGGTTTCATAATTGTCAATGTTTGTAGGCCATGTTTGAGGGATAACAAAAGTGTGGACCATATTCTTTTACATTGTCCTTTCACTCTAAGCATGTGGGATTGGTGTAAAAAGTTGCTGAATCTAAATATCCTGATCCCACGTAGCTCAGATTTGATCATCTCTCAAGCTTTATGGGTGAGAACTATTTGGAATATTTGAAGAGAGAGAAATAGAAAAACATTTGAAGGGACACAAAGTGTGATTGAAGTTTTAAAGTCCAACACCTTAGCAACAGCAGCTGAAAGGTTTTCAACAAACAAGGAATGTAAGTTCATCCCAAAATCACACATTTTTTATCACCCATCTGAAGTTGCTAAGCTTAATGATGACAAACAGACTCGAAATGCTATTTGGATGCCTCCTCATGAAACTTGCTTAAAACTCAACTTTGATGGAAGCTCGATTGGAAACCCAAGCCCAGCAAGTTATGGTGGTACCATTAGAGATTATATGGGTAATTACAAATTTACCTACTCGGGACCATGTGAACATACAACAGTGAATGAAGCTGAGGCAAGAGCTCTTTGAGAGGGTTTAAAGATAATAAAGAACTTCGAGGGTCAAAAGATGATTGAAGGTGATTCAAGTAATGTCATTGCTTGGGCAAAAGGAGAAATGAAGCCATCTTGTAGATTATGCAACATTTTTGATGAAATCTTTTTCATTTTAAGTAGTGGTTCTTTTGAGTTATATCATTGTTTTAAGGAGGCTAATATAGAAGCTGATGCTTTAGCAAAGGGTGGTGTGCACCAACATTCATTGGGCTTGGCAATACTAAGGCCCCAGGCCATTCTTGATGTACAGATGCAATTACAATACAAACTATGCAAGCATTTGGAAAATTGTCAGAAACCTTTAGGAAGCTTTTTTCGTACATTTATTCTAAAGGTATTTAAACTTATAAAAATATCCTTCAAAGTTCATATATTTAATTTTGAAACCACCTTCAATGCTATACTATTAAATGCCCTTGAGCACAAATTGGCTCCTGTAAAATATCTATTATTGTTATTATTATTATTATTATTATTATTTTTCTTTGTTGTGTGTATGAAAAAGAGAGAGAGAGAGAGTAGTCAATGTTCCTAAATGAAAGAGGGAAGCATTTATCAACATTGATGCCATGCTGAACCCTCAACATAAACTCCGATTTTTCAGGAGCAAATGCCATGAAACATTATCATTAACAATAAGTGCCAATATGATTAAGAGTTTGCTCTAGCCTAATTGTGATGAAAATAAACATAGCAGCACATTGTCCACCACGTAAATCTCAAAACCAACTTTAAGCTGAAAATGACTAGAAAAGTACCCATTTTTCTCTACATTGTTCTCCACAACCGGAGGTTGAACAACTTCAGACCTCTCTGGTTCTGCAATGACACTGTCAGCTTCAGTTGATGTCTGGATCTGCAGCATGTTTGGAACATGATCCACAAAAAGAAAAAGACATGTGAAAGGCAATTCAGTTTCATCATGGCCAAGGCAATTCAGTTTCATCTTCATCATGGCCAAATGATGTTAGCAGCAATCAAAAAATAAAATAAGAAGAAGAAGAAATGATGTTAGGTAAGTAGTTGCTGCTACATGTAAGCCTGCAGTTAATGGATACCCTGCAAGTCTTCCCGGGATGCTATAGATATTGTTTGTAACTCCATTAATAAAAAGTTAAATACAATACTCCCCATGTTCTAACTTACTATGGACAAAATGACAGTGAAAAGTCAAACTTTTAAGGAAAAAGTGAAATTGAAAAGAAGTGAAATTCCAACTTGCTACTAACATAACGAAAGTGAAAAAAGTGAATGTCCACCTTATTACAAACAGAGAGAAATTAAAAAAATGTGACTTTCTCTTATCAATTAAAAAAAAACAGCACCCAAGTACATTCAAGTTAACCTAAATTGCAAGATATACCACCACATTCCATTAAAACATAGTACAGAAATCCTTCGACCTCAAATAGTGGAAACCAAGGATTTCTTTTTCATGTAAGTTAAACCAACAAAGAGTTCTACCTCTGCAGTATAAAGACCCATTCCATGATGCATATCCATCAGAAATCCCAGGCCGCTAAAACAAATCCAAAATACAACTCAAGCCTTCCCCCCCTCTTTTACATATTTACCTCCGTCCAAAGTGCATCAAACAATGCATATTTATCAGAAAATCCCATCCACAAAATCCGGGGCATTTTCTGGATCCAATTTATGATTAATAAATTCCTTTCTTTAGCTTTAGAGCAAAACTTCGTGAGACATCAGGATTCATACAAAATATGCTGACTTGTTACAAAGCCCACAACTCATGGATACAATGGAATGCAAGAACTTCTTCATTCTACAACCAAACTATAAAACAACCTTAAATAATTCCCCCATCAAAAAGATGGTATCCAATCATGAATTTCTATGACCTCCTGCATCTTCAAAATTGGTATGGTCAAAGCCATCTTAACCTCATCAAGCATCATAGAGTTGGAGCCGATATCTTCAAACATTCATGCAACAACCCTTAATCAGCCCCCAAAAGGTTACGAAATGAAAAATGTAGGTATGCTTGGACCATAATTCCATAAACAATGACGAAAAGAGAAATATCCATTTTTTGCAAATAATATTTCCACCAAAAAATAGAGCTTCCTAACATTAAACTTCTTCCAGCAATAAGCCTCAGGCCCCACATAATTCATATGCCTTCAAACACATAGTAAAATTTGGATTCACTATCCGTCCAAATAGAGATCAGCTAGAATGACTTTTGCCGTGGCTCCTAGAGAAAGCATCTAGGTCCCCAACCAACAACTAGAACATAGTTACTTATCATTTTAAAAAAAAAAAAGGTATACATGATGGGCACTTTGCAATAAAGATTAGTCTTCATAAATGTATTGATGATAGACAAGTTGATCAGATAGCAAAATATTGAAAAAACTCAGTTATGGTTATATACGACATAGTTGGCTAAAACTATGAGAGATAACAAATTAGGTCCCCAATATAAATGTCATCAACTGCTAACACTCCCCAAGTATCAAAAATTCAAAATATTAGCCAGATGTAGAAAGAAGATATTTTTTTTTGTTCTTTTTTCTTTTCTCTCCTTATCTTTGGGTAAAGAGGGTGAAGGTCAATTGAAATGATAGATAAAGGATCACATCATCTCAAACTCAATGCTCACCAGAAATTAATTCTTGAAATTTCTCTAGGATAATCTATAATAAGAGACTAAACTTATCACGAAGGAAAAAAAAAAACACATAATAATATGGAAAATTATGATGAAAAAAAATCTAACCATGTCATCCATCACAGAATCATCCGAAGGGACCTCCTCTGAGCTCTCTTCCATAGAAATAGAACCCGTTTCTAAGTGAATAACAGGTTTGAGGTCTGGGAGAGAAGATTCATTTGAAACCCCCATCCAAGCTCCTTCAAACTTTGCAGATTTCTCTGCATATTCCATTGAATGATCATTGAAATTTTCCACGGAACCATTAGTTAGCAAATCCCGATCTTCTTCAGATGCCAACAACACAGAGACAGGATCTCCATTGGCTTTTCTTTGAACCTCCATGTCAGACGAGTCATCAATCGTATCTTTCTCTGAACCATTCTTGATTTCAGCAGAATTAGGGGAAAGCTTTCCATTTTCAGGTTTATCGTCCCAAACCCACAAGTCACCTCCCTCCGCAACAGGCTGTGACCCTTGATCAAAACCTTCGGAACCAAGATCACCTCTATCTTCCACGACCATTTCTCTCTCCTCTGAAATTGAATCTGACTCCTCAGCAATCAATTCTCTCTCTGCTACAATCAATCCTCTTTCATCCACAATCAAATCTGTCTCTTCCGCAATTGATTCACCGTCACTGATGATTGATCCTCTATCCTCAATGACCGATTTTACGTCCTCTACATTAACTCCTTTCTGAGAATTCAAACCCAAACTCTCTTTCGATTCAAACCCAATCACTGAACTTTCCATACCAGGTTTAGACAAGTCAGTCACCGAAGCATCAGCATCACCGAAATGGAACAAAACACTGCCATCGGAGATCTCTGTTGAAATCAACAAACGCGAGGCTAATAAGAAACAGCAACCAAAAAAACATAACGAAACCAATAAAACGACCCTGCCTCTAAAACCCAATCCGATACCAGGAAAAAGGACCATTACGAAAAGAAAAAACAAGCCAGTTAAGAGAGAGAAAGGAAGAGAAGATCTAGGGTTCAAGCAAGAAAATTACCAGTGGTTCTAATGGAGTCAAATCTAGGGTTTGATGAAGACGCCGAGAAGAAGGGCTTGATATATAGACCCGGATTCCTGAGGTTTAGAGAGAGAAAGACGGGTCGAATAAGCTGGAAATTGAGGGGATTTTGTGCGAATTTGGAAGGGATAAATGGAGAGTGAGAAGCGATAATGCTAATCCCACAGTCCAAGACCAGTCTTCGAGCCATATCTGGGGCTTTTTTGTGGAGTTTTTTTTAGCAAAGGGTAGAGAGAAAATAGGGTTGGGAAATTAATATTGAATTGGTCTAGTGTGACCCACGTCGACGCCTACGTGTCTCTCGGTCGTTGAAATTGAGAACTTATTTATCTAAAGCTTTATTTCTCTGTAGAGTTTTTAAAGGTTTTAACTTTTAACTATAAAATTTGGGCACGCGCTCTGCGCTCTATTCTTTCTCTGTTGGCTTGCTTGTGTTCCGAGTGCAACAGGGAACCAACCGCATGGACACTGCATTTCTAGGAGAAAATTTGTTTCGTGATCTACTTAAAAAAACAGAAACTAACATTCCAAATGTTTTTTTATTATAAATATTTTTTTAAAATTTTTAAATTTTATTTATTTTTTCATATTCATGATCTCTTTATATGTCTTTAAAAATTAAGTGTTAAAATCTATCTCAAAAATAGATTTATTAATAAGCCCACATTTCTTCATATGAAGGCTTGGCCACACCCAAATCGGGTCCTTTCTCAAAAATAGATTTATTAAGAGACCCACATTTCTACATATACGACTTGGCCGCATAGAAACCGGATCCTTTCTATGATACAAAATCTAAAGGTATAAAGCATCCATATTAAAAATGAATGCAAATAGGAGGTCCATCGTCTAAATCTTTTTTTAATATAATTATTATTCTTAGTCTTCAAAAAAACTAATATTCATGATCTCCTTGTTAAAAATTATATATTCTCTAAAAATTAGGATTATATTTATTGCCATGCCCGCATTTCTATAATATGCGGGCTGGCCGCATAGAAGCTGTGTCCTTTATCTATTTTGGAAAAAAAAAAATTCATGTGGGCTGGACCGCTTTGCTACAATATACTGTCCATCTTAAAGATGGATGCAAATTGGTGGTCCATCTAAAAACACGTGTAACTAACAATCCAAATGTTTTTTAGTATAATTATTATTTCTAGTTTTCAAAAAAAAAATCGTATTCATGATCTTCATGTTAAAGATTATATATTTTCTAACTAATAGAATTATTTTATATTTAAAATATATATTTATTGCTAAGCCCCTATTTCTACAATATGCACTCTAGCCGCATAGAAAGCATGTCCTTTGGAAAATTGTCTCGTACGGGCTGGACCGCATGACTACATATGTGATCCAAAAAGTGTAAAGCATCCATCTCAAAGATGGATGCAAGTAGGTGTTCTATCAAAAAACAATGGAAACTAACGGCCAAAATATTTTCTTACTAGAATTATCTTTTCTAGTTTTTTAAATTTACTTATTTTTTCATATTCGTGATCTCCATAGTAGAGAGTACATGTCCTTAAAAATTAAGTCCAAAAATTCATATGAAAAATAGACTTATTAACAGGCCTGCATTTCTACATATACGGGCTTAGCCGCATAGGAACCGGGTTCATCTATTTTGAGGGGAAAATTGTTTCATGCGAGCTGGATCACATTTCTTCAATATGCAGTCCTAAGATATAAAGCATTCGTGTAATGCAAATAGGTGGTCCATCTAAAAACAATTGGAAATTAAAATTAATGATCAAAATATTTTTTTCCATAAAATTATTATTTTTATTTCTTAAAATTTCTTTATTTTTTATATTCATGATATTTATGTTAGAGATTTTATGTCCTTAAAAATTGGTCTCAAAATCCATCTCTAAAAAAGATTTTTAAGATTCGACTCATTTCTACATGGACTCATAGAAACTGTGTCCATTTTTGGGGGGTTGGCTTAGCTGGATTGGTGCCTACATCTTATTTTGTGCTTTTCCTCTTTTATGTTTCATTGCTACGCGCTTTGTTTTTCTCTCTCTATAAGTTGTTTCTGTCTCTAAGTTTCTTAACTAGGTTCAATCTGTAACTCAAGTACTTGTGGGTCCACACTCGTTTTCTGGAGGGTAAGAATCTTTAAAACTTAGTTTTTTTTGGAGGATTAGATTAGCTAAAATTAGTAGATCTTAAAACTCCTCTCTCTCTATAAGCTATCCATTTTAATGAGATAGTTAGATATAGAGCTCCAAAACGTTTTTTTATTTCCAAAATTTTAATATAGCATTATCATCATTAGATTAACAATGCTAAAAAAAAAAAAAGTGATTTTGAATTTATCAAGGCCTAGATCTTGAAATTCACCAATGGACGGTCGAAAAACATTATTAAAGTGTACTAATTTTGACCATATTTAGGGTGTAAATTGATTTTATTTTATTTTTTTCCTCGGGATTGATTATGTGGATGAAGAGAATGTGTGGGTAAAATTTTGGGTCATACAAATGTTAAAAACATAGTCTTTTAGAGGTGTAGTTGCGATTTTTTTTTTCATATTTTTATTAGGTGTGTCTCACTAAGATGTACACACATTCCAAATTTCAAGTAAATTGGATTTGTAAAAAAAAAATTGACAAATGAAACACTACCAAACAACTGTCACGATTGTTCGGCAGTGTTTCATTTTTTATTTTTTTTCTATAAATCGGAATGACCTAAAATTTAAAGCGTGTATTCATCAAAAATAGGGATAATCTTTAAAAAATATTAAAAAAAATATTTTATATGAAAAAATTTGATCAAAATACTCTCAAAAAGTTTTGGGGGTATTTTGATCAATTTTTTTTTTCACGGATAATTTTTTTTATATTTTTATTTGTATGCGCCTCAATAAGATGTACATACCCTCCAAATTTCCAGTTATTCCAATTTGTAGAAATAAATAAAAAACAAAAATAACTACCG